CTCCACCACCATGCTGGAGCCCCCCACCACGGCAGCACCCACCACCGCGGAGCCCCCCACCACATTGCCACCAACCACAGCAGCACCCACCACAGCAGAGCCCCCCACCACGTTGGCACCCACCACAGCCGCACCCACCACAGCAGCACCCATCACCGCATTGACACCATCCACGGCTGCACCCACCACAGCAGAGCCCCCCACCACATTGCCACCAATCACAGCAGCACCCACCACTGTGGAGCCCCCCACCACATTGCCACCAACCACAGCAGCACCCACCACAGCGGAGCCCCCCACCACGTTGGCACCCACCACAATGGAACCCTCCACCATGCCAGAAACCCCTGTCACAACAGCACCAACCACGGCAGAGCCCACCACCGTGGCAGCACCCACCACACCAGAGCCGACTACCACAGCAGCACCAGCTATGCCAGCATCCACCTCACCAGAGCCCAGTTCCCCAGCAGCACCCACCACCTTGCAAACACCGACCATGGCACCTGCCACCACATTGGCAGTGAGCACAGCATTGCCCAACACCATGTGGGAGGCCACCACCCTGGAGGACACCTGTGTCTCTGGTAGCACATGTGTTCCAGTGACACTCGTGCCCACCACGGCATGCGTCGCGCTGAGCACCACGACTGAAGGCACTCCGGAGCGGTCCACAGTGCCCCCCAGCTCCGAACTGTCCCTGCCCACGCCCACTGCCAAAGTGTACGCCTCGTCTGCGACTTCACCGCTGGCAACCACCAGCCGCCTGCCTGCGGCCAACAGCACGGTCTGGGGGCCTTCTGCCTTCACTACCCCTGTGCCAACCTCGGCCCCGCGCCGCCCTGCCGCCACGCCGCCACTCCCGTCGCGACTGCATGCCTGGGGCGTCGCTCTGAGTTCCAGGTACAGGTACTGCCAGGTGTCCTTGGTCCTGTACCTCGCGATGCTGGTCATCGAAACATGCTGCACCGTCTGCCTGGTGACGTTTGTGCACCTGCTCTACCAAGCCACGCACCCGAAAGAGCCGCCCCCGGCGCCTGTGAAGCTGGTGAATGTGCAGCCCAGGCGAGCAACGCCGTAGGCCACGCGGCTGCTGCATCCCTGCAACAGTGAGGCCCGGAGCCGTGGGCAGAGGCAGCTACCGAGGGAAGGGGAGATCTCCGGGGATGAGGGGGAGTTTGCTGCAGAGACGGCGAGGGCTGGCTGGAGCCAGTCGGGGCCAAGAAGTAAGTCTTGGCCAAGGGAGAGGGAAAAGCATTAGGAGATGGTGCATTTCAAACACGTATGTTGTGTTCTGTCTTCCCCAGTTCCCTGGCAAGGTTTTCCCTAATTATTAAAGTTGTTGTTTTTACCCCTAAATGTAGCTGTGCTGTCACTGGGTGTCTTGCCCCGCGGGGAACTGGCATCCCGCGGGTGCCTGGGCTGAGTTGGGGTCCTGTCGCACCCGGCACTAGTCAGGCTCCCCGTGCCGGAGCGGGTGGCTGCCCGCGTGTCTGTCCTCGCCCTGCTGCACTCCCTTCCTCGCTCTCTGTCCACAGGCAATGCCCAGGTAAGGCCGACCCTGCGCCCGTCGCAGGCCAGGGCCTGGTTGGGCTGTCCCGGTCCTGCTCCACTCGTGGCCCACCTGCGCGATGCGTGGGGCTGGGAGCTGCCTTGATGGCGCCGGTGAGCGCGTGTGGGAGATGAGGGTCCGGCATGGTCCTCGCTGAGCCCAGTCAAGACAGACAAGCTCGTGTCTCATCTCCCAGCCCCAGTCTCATCTGCAAAACCCACAGCCGGCATCCAGCTCCCGGCAGCTCTTCCGAGCTGGAGTCACTAGATGGCCCTGCAACACAGCCGGCGACACTGAGCGCCCCAGCCCAGCCGGCACCGGCTTGGGGGCGGCTGGAGCAGCTGGCAGGGCAGGTTGCGCGCTGTGCCCGGGAGCCCCAGTGTGGCCCCAGCCCCCCTGCCCCGGAGAGGGGCAGTGGGGATTACGGGGGTGGGTCGGAGTTGCATTCGGCAGGACCGGCGTGGCGCCTGCTGGCCAGCTCTGCGGTGGCGAGTGCAGCTGGCGGGGCCATGGTGCAGCTGGGCTGGGTCTTGCCTTCTGCTCCAGGACATCATCCTGTTGCTGTGTGGGAAGGCGTCTTCCACGAGGACCAGCGTAAAGACCACTGAGACCTGAACGGGATGACCTGGACATAGAGGGGGGCAACCGGGGAGACCGAGCTGCCCAAGGGCAATCTGCCAAGGTGCCACAGAGACCATCAACCACCTCCTACGGCTCTGCTTGGACACCCAGGAGGTAAAGTGGCTCCGTGAAGCAGTGGTGGCTCAGACAGCTGTCAAGAGAGGTGATGCTGTACGGACACCCGACTCAACGCCTGCGGAGCCCGTTGGCCCACTTCGATCAGCTCGTGTCGTGCGTCAGGAGCGCCCCGTGCAAGTCCAGGAACCTCCTGATGTAGACACACGGACCTCGAGGTGGTAGACCGTGTTAAAATGGCTTTGAGCAAACTCCAGTCTTATACCAGACATCAGTAGCGAGGATGGGCCGCATGCAGCCAAACCCACCTGGCACAGGATCTCACAAGACCTCCCTAGCGGGGAAACGGACGGCGAGGCAGCCGGATCGGAAGACAGTGACGAGGACGGCCGCAGCGGGTCTTCCAGCAAAAGCGACAGCGAATGAACTGAGTTTTAAACCCTGTATTTGGGAACTGGACGAAGAGACGGGGGTGGAGGGAGACGATGCTTTGCAGACGGGTGTGCGAGAGCACCTTTCTGCAGGTGCAGATATTACAACAGGTGTGCGGGTTCCTATGGTGGGTGAAGGAGGTGATGAACAGTGACTAGAAGGTGCATCTATATATATAAAGACGTATATTTTTACAAAAATAAAATCTTCCTCCTTTTGCCCTACTACCAGCAAGTATCCTCCACCTCAAACTTTTCAGCCTGGGGCTTCAGATACCTCCACATCCTATGGTAGGCATCCTGTGCCTGGAGGCTTAGGGTTTGGACACCCCCAAGTCCCGCTTGCCCTCAGCCACCGGCCGCAGGAGCAAGCTAAGGAGTCGTCCCCATTTCCATGAAGTTGTGCATAGCTGAGATCCTCCGGCTGGAAGTGGAAGTGGGAGGCGAGCGATGAGGCTCTTGTACCTTGTCCCGTCCGCAAGCAGATGAGGGTGCACCCTCCACCACGCAGCGCCATTTGAATTGCATTACCTCGGTCATGGGTGGTCGTGGGATTTCCCCTGGCAGGTAGTAGGGCCACATCTGGTTCTTAAACCATTCATAGGATTTGGAGCTGATCTGGCTGATTTGCTAATTTGACCTGGGAGATGCACAAATTTCCTTTAAAAAAAAAAAAAAAAGAAACCAGCAAAAAAACTTCCTCCTTTTGCACCCCTCTTTCCCCTTGTTTCCAAAGCGCCTTTGCCCGGGCGGGTGCTGGGCAGGCAGCAGCCCAGACGTCTCAGGCTGCAGCTCTCCATCCTCTTATTAGCCTGTGGATGCCAGGGGGCCAGGCCTGCGCGGAGCCCCTTCCCACCTCTGCTGGCATGGGGGCACCGGGCTCGTTATCTCAGTGTCTCCCTCCCTCGTTGTGCTCCCAGACAGGCCGAGGCGGGCGCCTGTCATTAAGCTCTCAGGCTGGCTCCGTTCCCCGCAGCACACATGCACACAGATGCTTTCCTGGTCTTGCAGCCTCTGCCCCGTCACACGCCAGCCAGGTGAATGCTTTGATCCCGGGGTCTTTCTTCTTGTAATCTCCTGCAGGGATTTCCTGCGCTTCGTCTTACGCTGAGTTCAGACAGCTGTGCGTGACCCTGGGGCTGAGCTTCCCTGCGGGGAGGAAACACCTTCCTCTCTAAATCCCCCCTCTGAAAAAGAGAAAATCCCCTTTCTAAATCGTTGCACGTCGCAGCCTCTTGGGAGCAGCGGGTTTGGATGGGCCCAGCCAGCGAGCTCGGCTGCAATCCCTCCTGGACCGACAGCCGAGGCCTCGCCTGACTCCGCTGACGTCCAGTCTGGGTGACTCCTGCTCGCGGATGTCCGACGTGTGCAGTCACTTTGGTGACTCTGGCTCCGGCCAGGGCCAAAGGGACGTGCGAGGGGCTGTGCTTGCAGGTTTGCTGGCAGTCCTTAGTGGTGACGCTGCCGTTGTGAGGACCCCAGTAGCATTTCTTTTGGGCATATCTATGCATGCACTTTAATTAGCCTATTTTAATGCGCATTAAAGCATCACTAAAGCATGCTATTTAGCTAATGTGCATTAAAACAGGTTAATGTACATTTAAGAATCACTTAAAAACTATGCTTTTTAGTTAATGCACCTTAAGAGACTAATGTGCATTTTCCTAGTACCTCACAATGGAGGTACCAGATTTAATACGCATTAACGAAAGTGCATTAACACACATGTAGACGCACGCTGGCGGCTGACAGAAGAGGTTCGGATCGCTCGGAGAGCCTAGATGAGGTTGCTGTATGAGCGGTGCAACTGCTTTGCTTTCCTTTTGTGTGTGGGCTGCCTGTAACCCCCCGGGTGCAGACACGGGGTCTAATTCCGTCCGTGCAGACTGGCCTCGAGGGGACACATCCCCCGTGTGCTCTTCCACAGACCTCCGTGTTGCCGGCTTTCACCCCCTTGCAAGTCTTGCAAGAGTTGATGTGTTTCCCTCGCAGTCCCGGCCCGTGGTGCCAGGCGAGCGCGTGACATGACAACCCCAGCTCTCACGTATGACAAGGCCGGTCCTTTATGTCCGGGTCCCTGTGCTGCACCCGGGGCCCTGCTGCAGCCACCCCCTGCCTGCTCGGCCTCCCTCGGATCGGACTTTGAGCGTGAACAGGCATCGTGTCGCTGGCAGGCCTGGCGGTCGGCTCCTGCCCCCGCTCGCTTCCTGCTGTGGGGCCGTCTCCGCGTCCCCGCCGGCGCCGTGCCCCGGGGCGGGCAGGAAGGCAGCCGCTCTGACGTGATGAGGGGCCTTTCTTGTGGCTGATCCTGGGGGGCTCAACACCTGCGCGTGGAGAGGCGAGATAACCAGGGCCTGTGCCACGCTAATACCCACCCACTCCCCGCTGCCGGGACCTGCTCGCCGCCCCCGGCCTCGGCTTCCTCTCGGGGGGCTGCTAACAAGCTGATAACGATTGAGCGCAGATGTGCTGGGTGGGGGCGGGGGCGCTGGTGCAGGTACCAGGCTGCCAGGCCGCACCGCGTGGCTGCAGGGTGGGCATGATGCTTACGGGGCCGGTTGCGGCCGTGGGCTTCCGGGGGGCATCTGTCCAGCCCTTGCATCATGCCCCAGGGGCTGCACGGGCCGAGCATGTGGGGATGGGACGGAGGGACATGGGAATGGGAAGGGCCGGCAAGGGTCCCTGGCTGGGAAAAGCACCTGGCCCCTGAGCTACAGCCGAGCAACAGCTCTTCGGCAGCTGTTACGAGGCAAAGCCGCAAGCGAGCGGGGCTGCTTCCTGCGCTCTCTCCTGCCGCGCGCGAAGCATGCCAGCTCCGTCGCCAGGCGCAGCCGCAGCCCCCCGCCTCTGTGCCGCCTGCCCCGGTGGGGCACGAGCTCCTCCCGACTCCAGTGCCGACGGGCGCAGGGACCCGCCTGGCTCGGGTGCATGCCCCGAGGTCACCGTCCGGCCCCGGCGTCTCTGTGGGATCTGCCCACCTGAGAACGTAGACGGCCCAAAGGCCCACCCTTGCCCCGCTGGCCTCTCGGTAGCAGCGTGATGGTGGTGCCAGCCTGTCCTCGCGGCTCGGCGCGGGCCCGGGGCTGGCAGGGGCATCCCCCTGCTCTGACCCCAGCATGGCCAGGCCCTGAGTGCAGCGACCTCCCTTGCAGGCTCCTGGCTCTGGCTGCCGGCCCTCCCTGCTGAGCCCATCCTTGGCTGGGGCAAGTCGCGGCGCTGGTGTGCACCAGCTGGCATCCGGAGCCAGCCCTGCCGAACCCGCTCAGCCTTTGCCCTTGCTGCTCTCCCACTGGGTATCCGCCGGTCCTTCAATGAAAGCAGCATCCATGGCAGTGGCTCGGGGAGACTCTGCCCTGCGGCTGGCGCCTGGCTGGGGGGGATCCCCAAAGTCCCTTGGGGCTG